CGTAAAGTATTGCACAGGTTTGCACAAAGCACTATGAAACAGTAAATGGAGCAGTAAAGAGAGCTTGGCTGTTCTCGTTGTTGTATAAAAACAGGCATGGTGAAAGTGATCCAGTGTGTGTGTGTGTGTGTGTGTGTCAGGAGCTCTACAGTGGGGATGTTAGTGTGGCTTAGAGGAATTGTTCTCCTTTAAATAGAGGCTGACAGACTGGTTGATGTGATTGATGATGCTTCCATTTGACCATGAAGTGAAGTGTAAAGATGCTTCCAAAGCCCAGTGGAGGTGATGCTGTGAGTGCTTTTATTGTTGCTCTTAGAAGCAAAAAGGTAAAAACCACCTCAAGTGAGCGTGAAAACCTTTTTTCTACTGTTTTCAACAACCTTTTTCTAATGTGATACTTCAAAATGTGCTTAAAACTATGCTGATGGAAACACAGCTAATGTGACGGCCTTTATTTGATTGATTAGCCAACAACAAACATGCTTACATTAACCATAAACAATTTCTCATGTTATCATTATGTCCTCAAATTGTATGGTTTTTAGGATCAATACATTTAATTTGCTATCATATAGAACAAAGACAAGTTGCAAATCCGCACAGTTCTGATGCTCAAACCAGCAACCTTTGGCATTTTTGCTTGAAAAATGACTCAGACAGTTCATTGATTATCAAAATAGCTCAACGAATGGATCATGTCAGTTCTGTTTTGTTGTTGCAATGTAAAATCACATGTCATGACATGCCTGCTCCTAATCCAGACATAATCACTAAGTTAATTGTTGAGGAAACATTGCAAGAAAGAAGTCAGATGGGGAAAGAAACAGATTCCCAGGTTAGCCAATAGAGCTGCAACAGTTAGTCAATACATTGCCTCATCGTCAACCATTAAATCAAACTACTAATACAAACTATTTAGATGACCCAGTCATTGTTTCGTTTCCAAATTATCAGATTCCAGCTTCTTAAATGTGAATATTTTCTTAAAACTGAATATCTTTTGGGTAGTGGACAAAACAAGACATTTTGAGGACATCACCTTGGGCTTTGGGAAACTGATCAACATTTTTCAACATTTTCTGACATTTTATGGACCAAATCACTAATAGCAACTACAGTGCATGGCTAACAGTACACACACGCCTGAACATTACACCCATATGTGACTGCTGAACATGCAGTTCCAGACCATGGGCATCAGTCTACTGTTACAAAACATCCTCCACTCCTCCTGGAAGGCTCTCCATCAGATTTTGCAACCTGACTGCAGAGAGTTGCCCCCATTCATTAGTATTACCTCAGCATTAGTGAGATCCAACACTGGGGTTGGGTGATAAGGCCTGGCTCGCTGTCAGTGTTCCAGTTCCCCCTCAAAGGTGTTAGGTTGAAGTCAGGACTCTGGTGAGAAGGAATGTGACAGGCCTGCACAAACTGGGAAAACCATTTTTTATGGAGCTGGCTTTGTCGTGTTAAAACAGGAAACAAGGAACACTATTGTCCAAAATACCATTACATTTAGGACATTATGGCAGTAAGATTCCCCAGCATTGGAACTACCATGAAAAACAGGACCAAAAGTCCCTGTATATCTTTCTACATAATGTCCCTCCGTGATGAAGAATGGTCAAAACTATAAAAATAAGACCAGAGTTTTGGTAAACCAGGATCTTCCTTTAAGCTCAACTGAATGTGGCTACATGTTAATTGCAAATTTAAACATATCCTCAAGAAAAAATAAAATCTCTTTCTCTCTTTCACTATTTTTTATCTCACTCTGTACTCCACTGAGCACTGCCTTCTCTCTCCTGCCTAGTTTACCTCTCCCCTTTTCCTACTCATTGGACTCTACCACCACTCCCTCGCTCTCTCTCCCGTAGGATAATCCGATTACGTGAGGAATGTGTGAAAGCAGCCGTGTGTCCAGCCCCAGAGCTGCTGTCCAATAGCCAAACCTCTCCTGCTGCCGCCATGAATATGAATTATTGGTGCACTGAAAACCTATAAATGTCTCTGGGAGAATTCACTGTCATAACAAAGAGATACTCTGAAAAATAAGTTTTGGGATGAATCTCCTCCACCACGTGCCAGCTACCAGCGCCTGTTGTTGGTTGAGCGTAGATACCTGTGTGAGAGAGAATTATGATCAGATCTGGGATTCGGACATGTTTTGATGGAGATATAAGAGGTTTGCTGCGTCATCACAGATACCTGGCTTAGAGTAGCAGGAACATCTAGTCCCTGCCAAAGAGACTGATTGGTACATTCTAATCCCGAACCTAGGCAGAGGGCTGGTTAGATTAGCACTGCTGGGAAATTTAGCACATGGGTCAAATCAGTACTCGTCCTGTGCTCCTAACCTAAATGCTGATGAGATGCTTGAATATGATCATTTTTTGACTCTGAAGTAAAGATTTTCCGTCACACAATCTATCGGCTATCGTCTGATGACGATTTAGAATCTAGGCACAATGGCCATTGTATTGGGGCCCTAGTGTAGCCCGACTCCCTCTATTGTCCTATAAGCGGCTTTATACTCGAGAATAATGAGACACATTTTGGCTAATCTATATGACTATATATACATTTTTAAAAACGTTAATAGAAAGCTACATCTTTCTTAGTTTGAGGATTGCATTTTTATTTATTCAATAACTGTTTGGTCTTCACCTGACTCCTCCAAATGGGTTGTTTACACAGAACCATCTGGGAAGTTGTCACAGGGAACTGTTTGGAAAAGGGCAGGCTACTTCTAAAAATACTTGAATCAACATAATCCAAGTTCAACCAATCAGATCCACGAACCATAAATGTCAAAGTCTTACCGAAGTCTGTCGGGAGAAGAGCGAGAAGAGCCTTCAGTCGTTCATTACTCTTCTTTCAAGAAATACTCTCCAGATCTGATATAGCTTATGCTGGCAGCAATATACGCTAACCTCTGTAGCAACCACCATTCTTGTTTTTAAGCAGTTACTTTTCACACACATCATCACACACCCCCGAGCATTAAATCACATTCTAACTCATGCTGTAACTGTAAGTGGTTCCTCATAGGACACTGATTGGTCTGAACCACTGTAGCTGGACACAAGTGCATTGCTTAAAGGCTGGCAGGATGGATTCTCTCATGACTTCAGTGCAGTTCAGCTGCCTAGCAAGGTTAGTTTGGCCTATAAAATGACTTGTAGGGAAATATTTCCATAAACAATTCCTAGAGCCCATGGTGATTTCTTTACATGTCTTGTTTTGTCCGACCAGCAGTCCACAATTTTCCACGAAAATGTGGGCCACTTATGTTTGAACAAGCATCCCCCAGCTGCAGTGGCCTTGAGTAAGACACTGAACCAGCCCTGGATTCTCTTTGGGGGTTTCAGGGAGCAATGAAATACACATCAACACTAAGTGTGATGCAGGGTATAGCTCCAAAAGAAAATTGAGCTCAGTCAGTTTTTTCCTGAGTCACAGAGGTTAAATAAGTCAAAATAAACGCATCATCATTAACTCCACTTGCCCCCTTCAATCTGCAGCTGTTTCACAGTATGACGTCATCACCTTTTGATATGATCAGATGTTGACAGTAAGCTCGAGTTGCACTGAAGCAGCCCAGGACCCTCAGTTTGAGAGGGGGGCTTTGTTATCTGAGTGGCTTTACATTGCTGTGCAGAGCGTGGCCGCTCCGAGTCACGCTTATGGACTCAGTGTGATACCATCCATATCACAACGAGCTCTCAGATATGAGGGTGTGAACATGTATGGAAATAAGTCAGTCTTGATGTATTTGTTTGATACTATTGTTTTACGGGGGGCTGTGGTGTATTTGTCACCAGGAGCTGTACTTTTGCCGTCAGGTGGGTTGCCAGGTTGGACGCTGCCAATCAGCCATCAGCCTGCTGGGTCTCTGCGCTAGAGTGAAGCACTGTTTGGATTTATGATTGATTGACTGACTGAAAGCTCAGTTTTCCATCTCTACCTGGCTGCCCACAGATCTGTTATATAACTGTGTTTTGCTTTAGTTCAGTGTCTGTTTAATGATTGATTACAGTGCAAATTGCTTTCAATAAAACATACAGAACATTAGGATTCATGAGCTACGCTGTCATCTGTTTCTGTTTCACTAGAGGTTTGATGTACCCAATATTTTAGCACCTTGTTCTTGCTCTAGTTTCAAACTGGTTGTTTACACAGATTTAAAGGATGATTCTGCTTTATTACAACCAGAAATAATACCATTATACTCACCAACCTGACTGTGCCAAAGTCTTTGGCAGAGAGAACCGAGGCGTATGGTTTCACAGTTAACAGACTTCCTGGTACAACTTACACAGGTGTTGACTCGAGACGGGAATTTGACTGACTGAATATGGACTGAATATCAACAAGCTGAAAACAAAAATTAATCGCAACACGACTTTTAGTGGCTTCATCTTTTTTTTGTCATTAAAAGGTGCAGACAGATTTAACTTTTCCTTTTCTGAAACTGAAATGCTGACCTATTACTTGAACATGTGAAAAAGGTTTAGATACCATACATTTTGACATTAACATAGAGACGTTCTGGTGGTCAACCTTATTTTTAAAAATGCACATTTTTACAAACTTTGAAAAAATGTTAGTAAAAATGTCCATTATGAATTGATTAGGACTCAAAAGACAACGTTTAGGACTTGGACCTGATTTGAAACTTCATAATCAAGACTTGTGACTTAATTGTGACTGGCAAAACAATCACTTTGTCCATACGTCTCACCTGTGGTTTACTGTAATTGTCCAGTGAGGGATTATTACCAATGTTTACCTATATAAAGTGCTGTTTGTTTACAACCTGTGCGATCATATGATGCCCCCGTCTGACTTCACTGTAGCTATTTAGCCATGTTTCCAGCTGTTCACGGTTATCGCTTGCTGTTGAGTAAATTGTAACAGACGTAATAAATGTCTTCAGCATTCCTGAATATATATATATATGTATATATATATATTGTGTATGTGTGTTTGTGCTGCAGCGATGGAGGAGCTGGTGTGTGAGCTTCGTCTGTTCCTGGACCTGCTGGACAGGGAGTATCTGAGCGCCGGGGTTCGAGAGAGGAAGCTGCATCTCTCCAACATCCTCCACAGAGTCCTCTCAGACAAAGGTGAGATTATAAGGAGCGCTGGACCACAGACTTTTTCAGAACCACTTTGGAGTTATCTGGTGGTGGCAGTTACAGAATTGGATACCTGAGAATACCAGTGCGCAGGGATATTTTGCAGCCCTTGACTTACATACCTTCAGAACTGTCACATGCAGACAGGGTGAAGCAGTTTGGATGGTTAGTGTAGATGCAACTTCAATACCTGCTGCTAAGAAAACATAGCACCGCAAATGAAATGTCATTGACCTCTGCTGTTTTGGAGTAAAGGCAAATTCTCAGAGAAGACATCTCAACAACCAGCCAATTAAAACTAAAACTACTAGAGCTGCAATGATTTTGACTAATCATTCACATTTCAAGTTAAAAAAACCAAAGCTTCTCTTGTTTTAGCTTCTTAAATGTGATATTTTGCTACTCTTCTGTCATATGTGATAGTAATATGAATATCTTTGGTTTTTGGACCGATAGTCGGCTAAAACAAGGGATTTGAAGACATCACACTGGACTCTGGTAAATTATAATTTTACAGTATTTTATGACATTTTTTAAACAAAATGATTAATCAGTTAATCAAGCAAACAATCAGCAGATTCACTGATGATGAAAATAATCTTTTAGAAAGCAGTTGGTAAACGAGAACTGCTGAATGTTCTAAGAAAAGCACTTTATAGTCTTGTTCAGGTAAACACTGCGGTGAGGGGAAGTCTCAGCTCTCTTTTGCCATTTATACTGCTGTTGTTAAAATTCCTTTAAAGGTTAAAGAAAGTTCTCCTGGAGATATTTAGCTGTAGTTGACGGATCCATACTATAAATACTGTAATGGGCTGAAACTGTTCAAATCACCTGAATGATTATGAATATGAATGTCTTTTTCCGCTTTCCTTCTTCTTTTAATTAGTTTGAAATCTGGAAGTTGATGGATGCCAATATTTATCAAATTGAAACATGATTTCCTTAGAACTGAGTTAAAATTGTGACTTAATTCAAATGGAAAAGGTCAGTTTATAATTTCATGATGGTAATTTCAGTGTCTGAAATTAAAATAAGCTCAATTTATTGATTATTTGTATTATTGAAATGTTGTGTGTCAAAAGAATTTGTATTTTCATTTTGATTTTGTTTTTGAATTCATTTGTGTTTTCAGACGTGGACATTACAGTAACATACTGTGTGGTACTGGATTTGCCATACTTTATCTACGCACAAATGAAAAATTCATAAATTGATATAGAAATCTCTCATTGGGACCTACTGAAGAGAGCAGTTCCCTTTTTAATGTCACAGAGGCAAAGTGAAACCTAAGTTGAAATTTAAAATATGTTATATTTCAAAGTGTCTCCTCCCTGTATATGTACAGTGTAGTGAATACCTTCTCTCAATTTCTGTCTGTTACTCCTCCTTCCTAGAGCCTTCATTCAAGTCAGAGATCCACAGTGGTCTGCCGGCCCCGCCTCAGATGCCCCTCCCGGAGATCCCTCACCCCTGGCTGGTAAGACTTCACAGTCAACATTTTGTCCCACAGGGAACTGGAAAATCTGGAAACCTGACCATGTTAATGGTATTATCCATCATGCTCAGTTTCCGATGTCTGCTTTTCTGTTGTTTTGTGGGATGTGTTATGAGTTGTGCATGTTGGGCTCCAGAATGTGCTTTGGACTTGTGACTGAACAAACACTCATCGACTCAGTGTCACTTCGTTTCCAGAGCTGTGTCTTGTCTTCTTCATAATTCTGGCTCAGCCAAGCTGCTGTGGTGCCAAAAATTCTGACAACTCTCAGTTGAACAACCTAAGATGTACTCGTTGTCTTGGCAACGCTGACAAATCAAATCTGATTTAAGCAATGTAATGCAATTGACTCACAGGTCATATGGGTCTGGGTGTGATATTCTCATGGCTTCATTTAGAAAACATCAGATGTAACACATAGAAAGGATGAACTAGAAGTTGAAAGCATGTAGTACAAAATATCCTTGACTCAAGGTCTACTTACGAGCTTTTTCCAGAGCTTTCAACCACCAAATGAAGACTATAACCCAGAGTACTTGACATAGGCTGGGTTGGGGATCATTTTAGGTCTTAAGTCCCGTTCATGTGTGTTTACATATTTTCCTTTGTGGAAAATTAGGAAAGACAGATGGGAATAAGCACAGCTGGCCAAAAGAGCGCTTCTTTAATTGTAGAAACATTACGATTTGTCATAGTTTCACATCATACAATACTTTTTCCCCTTGCAAAAAAAGAAACCAGAAGTTCTCAAACATTACATTTTCAAACTAGAGATGTCCCCAGTACCACTTCTGATGCTCAGTGTATCTGATCTGGTACTAGTGATGTGATGAGTGACATCAGCAACTTATTGCATCAAAAATTAGTCACTGCAGCAAATCAATTAAAATCAAATCAAAGTATGTGTGTGACCGGATCAGCTGCACCGTCCAAGATCTTTGCTGAAATAAGGGCCGTCTGAAATCGGATGAAGTAATGGTTAAATCATGCAGGGGTTTTCACAGTCTCAGACTGTGGGGTTCCCCTTAGACAAAGCTTGGAAAAAATTGTTTACTTTCTTAGTTTTGCTCAATTCCTGTATGCAGATGGGATCATGATTATGTTCTTTCATCCCATAGACATTCATATGTGCTGTCTGGCATACTTCAGACTCCACCAAATACATAAAAAAGGGTATTCTCTGAGGCTGAACAAACTCTGTAACCATCTAGTTTGCCTCTCTTCAGTACTTGACTGTTTTGGAACTTGGTGATGCAGACACATTTTGATCGATACCAAATAAAGTGTTGCAGCTCAATACCCAGCCCCAGAATGGAATAGTATGTATAAGACATCTGCCAAAGGTCAAAGGTCAAATTATATCACAACTCAGAATGACTGTCAGATTCAGTAATACAGTGGGACTTGGAAGCCATGTGCGATGTGTTTTTATAGCCTCTTGTTAAGCAGTAGGAAGGCTAGTCATGGCTTCAATGTGTTTTCCTGTCTCGCACAGCGCCTTGCGTCACCCTGACAGTCACTGAGAACTGCAACATCTCCATTATGCCAATTGTGTGTGTTTGTGTGTGTAAGTGATATAGTGGGAGTGATATGAGGAACATGCGTAAAGAGAACCCAGCATGAGGAATAACAGGGGGAGTGTGTGTGTCGTTAGTGTCGGAGCAGATGCCTCTGATGGAAAGCAGGTGGCCGTGATGGCTCGCAAAGCCTTCTCACCATAACAATAAGCCACAACACCTTGTTCTACATCCTCACACACACACACACACACACACACACACACACACACACACACACACACACACACACACACACACACACACACACAAGGCCTTACAGTGCAGTTTGTAATTAGAACCAGTCCACAGCCTCAGCCTCCTCCGGTGACCCCAGTGTGTGTCTGGAAATCACAGCCGAGGTTTTCCCGGAAAACTAGACACGAGAGGAGGAGAGGAGGAGAGGAGGAGAGGTAGAGAGAGGCGGAGTGATTTCTCTCGACTTTTTGTCTCCCTTGCAGTCTTTTGAACTTTTGGATATCAGATCTGTTACCATGGGAGTTTCGCTAATTTTGCCAACTCAGGTGTTAGAACAGAGTCAATCACCAGTGCAGTCAAAGAACTTCCATGTTTCTGATTTTCCCTCTTATATGCGGTTAAATTCCCGGCTGATATTAGGGAGAGCAGCCATGCAACACACAGGCTGAGGTGGACAAGACACAGGAAGGAACGACTGGATTTTGATCACCTCTAATAGCTGATACAATACATTAAAATATGTCTGAATCACCCCCGGTACCAATACTTATAATAATATCATAATAATATAAAATATAGGCTACATTTAAAAAAAAAAAAATCTACAAGTAACAAATGTGCAGGACGTGCAGAATAACAGCAGTAAAGTATAATTTTCATAAATATACTTGGACAGAAACCCAGCTACTGTCTTTTATTTTCTTCCAGCTCGCTGTCTCTCTGTCGCTGTCTCTCTGCTCTGAAATTACCATTCATCACATTTCCACACTGACCTCTGGATAAGCTGTCCAGGCAGAGAGAAAAAAGATCTGTTATGCACCCTGTCTCTCCACTCTCCATTCCTTTAAGTTGTATAAATTTCAGCCTGCGGGGAATGGACAAAAAGACAGATGAGTAAAAGGAAGAGAGAGAGTGGGAGGAGAATGCAAGAGAAAAAAGAGTAAACAGGGTAGGGAGTTAAAGAAACAAAGAGGAACAAGATTTAGTGCAGATGAAACACTCTTTTGTAAACAGCACTGTTTAGTCAGGTTATAATGCGTCAAATGCAGAATGAAATATTTTATAAAGCATCAGTCGTGTGTTACTGTTGGTGAGTGAAATAAATAGACAAGAGAGGTCTGGTGGAAGAATGGAAGAGTATGGAGGAGGAAGAGACGGCCTTGGCCACGGTCTGTCTGTGACCCGTCAAGGCTCGGTGCCGAGCCAAACCAACACTCTGTGCAAGACTGAGAGCCTGCGGCTTTAGGAGCTACATCAATGCTCTGTCAACCCCAAAGCCTATGGCAGCCATTTTGATTACTCACTGTTATATAAGGAATAATTAGTTAGAGTAGTCTTGCGGATTTACAGTGCAGTTGTTAATGTTTAGTGTTGTGACAGTGGCATTGCACTAATCGTAAATTACTAATTGGACAGAATTGACGTTGTCATTTACACAGTGTGCTGCTTGTGTATTATAGAGGAAGTAATCAAATTATATGGACCTCCATGATGTGTTTACTCAATGTGTCATGGCTTCAATGTGACCAACTATCTGTCCTTCATTCTCATAACCACTTTGTGTAGCTGATCAGTTTTTTTAGCTACTGTCCATAAACATGTTACAATAATCTATTACTGCTGTGTTAGCATAGCAGTACTAGAATTTGTGCTATTGCCATACATTTAGATAGACCTTTTTCACAGCAGCATTTTGACATGAAGTGTCATGAAGTGGTAAACAGAGGTGGTATGAATGGTGCTAATGAAGGTTCTGTTCCATTTAGTGTAGCACAGCCTTTCAAGTGAGCCAACGTGCACAATAGCAGCACCCTGTGTTTACTCTACTATTTCATGTCAAAACGGCTGCTGTGAAAAAGGTTAATTGGTAAGCGGTGATGATAATCCCAGCTAAATAAAAACATTACAGCTTTGTTAGCCATTCTAAAATCACTGTGAAGTGACGCCTGAAGCGACATGTTGCTAATATTTGGTCTTGCTAGCAGTGCAGACGTGCTAAATTCACCTCACAAGTTTAGGTGTAGCCTGCTAACATGTATTGCTAACACGTGTTTGGGAAAGAAATAGCCTGTTTCATACACAGTCAAATTCAGAACTTATTTTTTATTTACAGCTAAAACAATTAAACACAGCTATGCCTGTTGTTCAAGCATTTACATTATTACAGAACATCCTTTGTATCACTAAAACCTGACAGTGTTGGCTCAGAGCAGGCAGTGTGTCTAATAGCGGGGCATGAGAGTCACATGTGTGACCCTCATTAGCCTCAGCATTAGCAAAAAAGAAACAAAGAGATGATGTGTATGAACTACTATGTAGCTGAGCGCAGAGACTGGTTTCCCATGGGCAGACTGGTTATTGACTCTCACACACACGCACACATACACACAAACACACAAACACTAATGTCATTTGGGATCAGGAGACCCGGCAGGATATCCACTAATCAAATAGACAGCCATAGGGCCCTATTTTAGTTTTATCAAGCTCAAACTGGTCTGCTTTGAACCACCCTGTATCCTTCCCCTAAGTGTGTGTGTGTGTGTGTGTGTGTGTGTGTGTGTGTGTGTGTGTGTGTGTGTGTGTGTGTTTGAAGAGGGTCATTAAGAAGTCACTGCAAAACAAAATTGAAATTTAATGGACAGAAGACCAGAAAAAAGATAAGCACAAGTCTTGACTAAAAACAATCTATATCTACATTATTTTACCTTATCTTTTGAAATTGCAACCCCTGTTTATAGTAGCCAGAAGACAAGGTAGGTAAATGTGATATTTAAAGCTTTTAGCTTTAGACATCCCTTCAGTCTGTTTTTCAGTCAAACACTGTCAGGTTCTCTGGTGAAGCTCTTGAAGTGGTCAGATTTGGGAGCACACATTTTGGGGCAGGCATTACTACCTTTCTTAAATATTTTTATGTTTCCATTTCTATGATATAAAAGTTGGAGGATACTTCTTATCTTTAACTTATCTTGTAAGAAATGGCATTTCCTTTGTGGCAGAAAACATGTGAATTAGCCAGCAGAAAACTGTATTATTTTTTTCATTATTGAGTAATCTCTTCATGCATTTGTCCTTCCTGGAGCTGTCATACTCAAAGCCCCTCATGCTGTGTGTATGTGTGTGTGTGCGAGAACTGAAATAGCAATAAACGGTGGGTTTGCTCAGACACACATACACTCGCAGAGAAGCAGGATCTTTTCAAGTCAGTTTGATCCTCTCCACACCCCT